AAAGCATAAATGCTTAAAATGAGAGAAAAGTCTTCTGTTAAGGTGTCCGTTTATATCTTCTGTCTTTCCTGATCTTAAAAGTTGATGGTTATTTTGTCCACAAAATCACTGTGATTGCTTCTACTGAAGTTTTTGTAGTATTTGTTATTACTCATGGAAATTTTCACTATAAGGAAGAACACATACCTGTTTAAAATTGTACTGGGATTAAGTAGTTAAATCCCCTTTCTTTGTGTGTGTGTGGCAGTTTGTTACTGGAGTATGACTTCTGAACAACTGAAAATAAGCCTGTTGGTAAGCTGCAAGCAGAATTGATACATTCTGGTTCTTCACAGGGCTCTAAGTCAGTCAGTCAGTCAGTCAGTCATAGGCTTTCTGAGAACAATTTAGTTTAAAATGTTTGAACTATAAACCTATCATAAAGGTCAGATCTGGATTTGATTTAAAGCTGTTCTGTCTGTATTGGGAAAGCTATTCATTAATTTGCTGATGAGGCTATGACTGATCATACTTTTTTGCAAAGTACACAACTATTTCTGTACATGGGCCTTAAATAAGGGGGACTAAGGTGTTATTTGGCAACTAGACTTTTGCTTTTACTGAGCTGAGGGCATTGGTCTTTGCATCCTGTTTTAGCTATATATTTTTATCTTCAGGACAGTATGCTGAGAAAAACAGAAGGCTTAATGTTGATTTCTGTTGAGTTGCACCATCTAGTTTCTGTTCCTGGAGGTAGATGTGGAGCAATCTGAAAGTGTCCCAAATTGCAAACAAAAGTGGCAAGGTAGAAAACCAGTTCAATTGAGAAAATTTGGAGTTTTCAGTTTTGTGCCACTTGCTCTGGGAGATTACAGTGTTTTTCTATTTATACATTCTCTTACGAAATTTGATGAAAATTGTGATATGGCTAGGACTTGGTTCTGTATAGCCACTTTCTGAGTAAGTTTTGCTTGAAGAATGTAATATTTTGGTTAATTTTTCATTGCTCCTCTGCCCCCCATCCCCTCTACCACCTCAGTTAATAAACAGGGCTTCTTCACTGAAGGACTTGGGAGCCCAGAACTTGGACCCAGCACTCCAGACAGGGTCTCTACCAGTGCTGGTAGAGGGGCAGGATCATCTTCCTTGACCTACTTCCCAATGTAACCCAATGTGCCTTCTTTTCCTCGAGAGCACACTGCTGGTCCACAGTTAGCTTACTGTTGTCGTCCAGGACCCCAAGATTCTTCAATGCAGAGCTACTTTCTAGGCAGTTAGCCTCAAAATGGGGTTGCATGGGGTTGTTCCTCCCCAGATGCAAGACTGCATTTTCCCTGATTGAACCCCGTGAGGTTATTCTCTACCTAGTCAAAGTGTGTAAGACCCCAGGTCCTGAGCCATGAGCTCATCCAGGTATTTTACTTTTAAAAACATACAAGGGTCCAAAATTTCACCCCCTGAATATTTTGAGAGCCTCTGGTTCTTTAATACCTTGAGGAAAAGAGAGAACACTGCACACATTTTCTCAGGTTTTACTATTTTTACTGATAATTTTAGAATATGGGAGAAAATAAGGATCTTGGCAAAAGTTTAAAAGGGGGTAACATGCAGCCAAAACAAAGCATTCCACAAAGCACTGACTTAGCACATGCTAAGCCATACAACCCAGCACAATCTAACCCATCAGTTTTAAGTTACCCAAAATATTAAGAAAGGAGTAAAGAAAAAGATTAAGAGAAGGAAAAGGAGTAACACATGCTAACCACTCAATTTATAAAGAGATTAAGATAAGATCATAGCTACTGCCAGAGAGTCCTGTGGAAGTCCAGCTTCACTCAGTGGAGGTAGTTCCCAGGAGAGAGAGGAGGGAGGCACATGTTGCTGTTTTTATGTGCTCTGGCTCCTGTGGCCACCCCTCCCATGTGGGACCTTGCTCACTGACCACTCTGTGGCTCTGGGCCAGAGTGAGGGGTGGTGTCGCCTGTCAAAGAGTGGGTTATGGGTTCCAGGGTGCGTGGTGTGGATGTGCTCCTTGGTTGCCCTTTTGACTGACAGCTGCTCCAGGACTGCTCCACTGGGCTGCAGAGACTCACCATGTGGGATCTGTGAGTCCTTCCCCATCACCCACATGCACTTGAGTTGGTTCTGGCCCCGTACTAAAACCCAGTGCCTCACAAAGTACAACATGATCCTCAGGTTTATCAAACACACTTTGCAGTTTTGTATCATCAGCAAACTTGTGCAGGTTATTAGTGATGGTGTTAAACAGGACTCAGGACCCAGCACTGACCCCTGGCATGCATCACTATTGACTTTTCTGCAGCTGGCCTTTTAATGACTGCTCACAGTCCTCTGGGCCTAGTAGCCAGTTTTCAATACACTGCACTCTCCACTTATCTAGGTCTTACTTTGTTGACTTGTCTATCAGGAAGTTATGAGAGTCAGCTTCAAAACCCTTACTAAAGCTGAAATAAGTAACAGCCACTGTTCTCCCCTTGTCCATGAACCTAGTCACTTAATTGTAGAAAGCTATAATGTTGATCAAGGAACATATAGTACAGTATTTTCAGAACATAAACTGATCCTGATATTTTACATGCTACTAATGGCATAATGTTATTTTTTTACTGTGTAATTTCTGTCTGAAGAGAAAATTCCAAAAGCCTGTCTATGAATGTTGACTGAATTACTGTAAAACTGTGAAAAGACTACTCCTTGTAATAAAATTTTTAATGCTTTGGAAAGAAGAAAACACAGGGGAACATTTGCTGCAGACCAAACTACACAGTGAAAAGATTCTTTAAAATATTCTTCTGTTTCAGAGCTAAAGTACCTTAGTGCTTTCCCTTAGAAGATTCCCCTCCCCAGTCTCCAATTTAAATAGCAAGAAATCTAATACATAATGTCATATAAGGTCACAAACTTTCCTGAAGACTTAAAAAGCTACATGTCCTGCAAAATATCTGCAGAATATCCTAAAATTGTTAGGAAGTGGTACACCCTGCAGTGATTTATGAAGAAAATGACTGGAGGGCTGACCCAATTAATACTTGTTCCATTGTTTGCATTGCTCTTAATTTAATAACAAAAAAAACGCTTAATTTGAAATTCTGGTATAAAAAATACCATTATTTTTGTCTAACAGCTCACTGTGTACATAAGTTGAACATTTCCGTGACCAAAGTGACACAAAATTGCATAAAAAGGGGTCTTGCAGAGTAGGAATTTGGACCTGTATTCGTAATTCACATATTGTTTCTCTGTCTTGCTCCCTTTTTTGCTTTTGTATGTATGTCATGCCTTTTAAAATGCTGCTTTTAATATCTGTGTAATAGAATCTGGCTCAGCAGGAGAGAAATAGTTACCCTCTATAATTCCTGAAAGATTTTATCCATTGTTAATAATTTTTATGTTGTTCTTCTGCTGTGTTCTTATTAATTTCTACAGTTTCCTATTACAAGTATTTCTGTATCAGTGCATCATCATTCCAATACTTCCAGTTATTAAGTGTTGAATAAAAAATATGCAAACCCTCATCTACTTTGGGATTGTTGTGGGTGTACTTCTCAGAGAGGAACTTAAGCAGTGATACTAATGCCATAATTGCATGTAGAAATAGGGTATAATTGTTTCAGCACTGTACACTGCAAATGCGAGACTCCTCCATCCTGGTTATGCTGAATACTGGTCCTGTTCTGTCCAAGACAGACTCCTCACAGTACTTTTTGTTTCTGTTTTCATCTCATCGTTAAGTACATCTTCTGTTCCTTTGTCTCCATTTGATACTCCCACAGTGGCTATGCCTATGGGTAGGGTACAAAACAATTTTTTAAGAACAGACATTTTTGCTGCAGTTAGAGCTGCAAACAGTCCCCTGCATTTCTCCACTGCTGATGATACCATTCATTTCTACTTATATCAGCAATACTGAAGCTCTAGCATAGAGAGGCAGACATCCTCTGTTAAGTACTGTCCACAGGACCTTCTCTCATCACAACTACTGAAATAGGTGCTTGTAATAAAAGCAGCCGTTATTAGTCCATCAATCACAGAGTGATGCTAGCACTGGGAAAGGTGAACTGCTTTGGCAACAGTAGAAAATCCCAGTGGTGTTGCTGGAGTTGCTTAGTAGTGATGCTTAGCAGTAATGGTACAGCTCAAGAGTGGTCTCACTGTTGTGCTGAGTACAGTTGGGGGAGTCTTTTTCCATGCAGGACCAAGACCAAAAGTGACAAAGATACTGCAAATGAACTACAGATTATTAGAATTTGACCCAGGGCTATATCCAGGTGTATTGGTTGAAGTATGTAGTGACTTCATCCATTGCTGTGTACTCTATTACCTTTTCTCTCTACTAAACTCACTTAGAAAATATGTTTTCCACTTTCTAGGTGGTTATTTTAACTAGGAAGTATTCTAGTGTGTGTGTGTGTGTCTCCAAAAGGCCTATTTCCATAGCTTATTATATGTCGTTTAGAACACTTCAACTCAGGAAAAGTAAACTGGTTTTTAAAGTGGCAAAACACAGCTCTTCACAAAAGGGCAGTTTTGCTAGGTTTTCTGGAATTATTAGTGGTCACTATCCAAAGTCTGAATATGGGTAGGATAAGTACAGTGCATTTCTGCCTAGGATACCTTCTTCCTCAAAAACACAAACAATAATATCTATGTAATATGTTTGGAGATTTTCTGATGATAATTCCTGTGCAAGAGAAAGATAATTTTTGTCATTCTTAGGTGGAATGAATTCACTAGTTCAGTCAACACACCCATAAAGTTTTAACTGAAGTATTGGATCCAACTCTTTTCTGTAGTTCTGTATAAAAGATTATGAAATTTCTATTATGGAAGAGATTCTTTAGATGAAACTGGTGTTTGGATTGTGAGACTAAAGATCAAGACCTTCCTGTTTATATTATTTACAATTAGAGGCCTAGGAGTAAATTTGAAGAAGAAAAGTTTTTTAGGGGGTAAGTTGTTGTTTTAATTCAATATTGCTTTTTCAATCCTTATTTTATTAGGATTGCCAGGGGATTTCTTGCGTTCTGGACGATACTCTGCTCATACCATCAATGGTGCATGGTCACCCTGGTCTCCATGGTCTCAGTGCAGTCGTGACTGCAGTAGAGGTATACGGAATCGCAAACGGGTCTGCAGCAATCCTGAACCCAAGTACGGGGGACTTCCTTGCCTTGGCCCATCTTTAGAGTACCAGGAATGCAACATTTTGCCTTGTCCAGGTAAGATTCAAATGAAGTTAGAGAAGTGGAAATAAAATAGCTCAGCCTCAAGGCTATATCTTGCAGCAGTTGGTGCCTTTTTTTTTTTTTTTTTTAGTTGGTGGGTTTGGGGTTTGTTGTGGTTTTTGAATCAATTACAGCTCAAATTTAACTCTGTAATATAAGTGTATTTAGGTAATATTCCCATGTGATGTCAATCAGTTTATCTTCAATGGTAGTAACAGCTGTGTCTTTTTTCACTTGAGATACTGACTGTAAAAATATAATTTTAGTATATAAACTTATAGGAAGAAAAAAGACATAAGAAATCTGGCAAAATATGAGAAATCTGGCCTAGTTTTTATTTGAACTCAAAATATCATTTTCATCACAGTAGTTACTGGCACTAAATCTCTTCTAACTCTTTAATGTAGAGCCTCCAGCAAATAAGGCTTGGGACTGAGCACCAAATTAAATGGCAATTCAAGCAGGCCATAAAGATTGTTCTTGGAACCTTGAGTTTCTCCTGCATTGAAAGTTTTTTTAGGATGCTATGAAAGGAATAACATGTAGAATATGTGTTTACAAAACTACTTTGGATTATAAATCATTGTTGCATCTTAGACATTTGGAGGGAAAAAAGATCTTGGTTTCAATCACCTATCGCCCTTCATAAAACAGAAATCCGAACTGAAAGGCTTTTGAGCTTTGCAGAGGCTTTCTGAAAAAAGAAAGGGGAAAGACATAGGAAAACAGATGAAGAAAAGAAGGTGCAATTGGATTCGGAGGAAAGAATTCAACATAAGAAAGAATAGTGAGGAAGAAGGCAAAATGACTGAGACAGTTCTTTCCAGTCTCAACAAATAAATTTAGAAATAAGCTTTCATATATCTTTAATTTTATTAATTAGGTATAAGAGTACTGCATATATTAATGGGGAATTGGAGCTTTTGTCACATATTAAAGTGTGGACCTGAAGAATTACTATGGCAATATACCTATTACATGTGTATCGCTATCATAAAACTTGTGTATTAATATGTGTGTGTGTCTGTATCTGTCTGTCTGTCTGTCTACATGGTTTTAAGTTAAAACTGTGTTCACCAGCAATGGATACATTATTTTTTTAACAAGAGTATTTTGTCCAATCGTATTGGACATTTCCGTAAGCTTTTTAATCTCTTTAATGGTCACTGCCCATTCTTTGCATCGGAATCTAAGCAGTAGGTAGATCTGTGCAGAATGACACAGTTCCCTTTCAGGAGTACAGAGTTTCTTGAAAAACATGCTTCCATCTTGAGTTGAACCTAAGCAATATTTTGTGGCACATAGCCCACAAACCCAGTAGCTCTGTGAGCGTTCTGGCTGTTCACTGAAAGTGAACGGCTCTGCAGTTTTACTGCTAATAGGAACAGTAGGATTGTTTGGCAACTTGAATGCCCTGAGGCATTAAAGCCTCCATCTCTCCTGCTGGTGGGGCAGATCCAAGGGGGATCTGCTGGGGGTCCCTGCTTCAGTCGGGGGGAACTGAGCCCACTGAGTCACTGAAGTTCTGAAAGAGGCACGTGGGCACAACAAACCAGCACTTTCTGGTGAAATTTCCTTGCTGCATCCAAGGAGGAAAGTAGCTTTAGTTGCTCATCGTGTAGCTCCTCCGTCTGCCAGTGTAGTATCTGAGGAGGTCCAGAAAAAAAAAATTATGTTTCTTTCTGTATAACAATTCTGTTTCATGTGACTGCCTTGGTGATCTGTGAAAAAAATTTGAGGATTGGCTGTAATGCATTAGGTCAAATGTTTTAGGGGACTATTGTACTAACATGTGCAAGCCTCCCCAGGGATGTACACAGTAGGTGAAGCTAGTTAGAATGTAGCATCTTCTCCTCAGTTCCTTCTTCCCTTGCAAAGGGAATCCCTCCATAAGACACAGCCTTCAGCTTCCTTTGAAGCATATGAGTGCTGCAGTATTAGCTAACAGGTTTTCTCACAAGCCTTAAGATATCTGATTGTACTACCATACTGCAGTAACTGCAGTACATTCATTAAATGGTCCCAGATTTGTTGTTCATCCCTCACTGTTAATTTTCAAATTAAGTGCTGTCTGGAATTTTGTTCCATTTTTTCAAAGTTAAAAGAAGTCAGAGGTTTTCAGAAGTGGTACTTTTATTAAGCTCTGCAGCTATTACACTCATATTTTGGAAGGAAATTGGTTTAACTAGTAAAAGACAGTTATGCAGACATAATTTTGTTGTAGAGGCCCTAGTTGTTTATGCGTTAACCAATACCTAAGCCTAAAATACATGAAGTTGTAAGGCAGAATTTGAAACTGTGTTTTATACAAAAATTATTCCCGTTTCTGCTGCCTCTGAATTTGAAAATATTTTTAAAGACCAGTAGACATAAAGTGTGGTGGGCCTTTCTGAAGCAAAAAGTAGTGTTCTAATACATCTAATAACATTTTTCAGAGACAAGTTTAATTTTTCTTTTTAGTGCAAAGCAAATTTGAATAAAGATGTACAGCTTGAATGAAATATTTAGATGTATCATATCCTGCAACAAAGAATCACAAAGTTCCCCAGCTACAGAACTACCGTTTGCCAGTAATTAAGAAGAAATGTAGGGGACTAAATCAGGGCTCAGATAAATCTCAAGGGAAAACATTGCAAGCAGTAGATGTAATTAATTTTTTTTTTCTTTAAGACATGGGAGAGTAAAAACTGATTGCAGAATAGGGGTTATCCATAAATTAAACCTGATTATAATTTTGTAGAAAGGGAATAATTTTTTATTAGAGATTAATTTGAATTCTCCTAATTTTTAATGAAAGTAGCAGAAAGTTAAATTAGTGGCTAAACATGAACATCTGTTAGGTTGACATTCATGTGACATCATCAAGAAAGGGCAGGCGTAAACCTTACATGAGTGAAGAGCCTCTGCTCCAGGCCCACGTGTACAAACCCAGCATATCCCACAGTAAGGACACAGAGGAGACCAGACAGGAAAAGAAACCATGGTTGAATCAGTTTTCAGCCTTCTTATTAACCAGAACTTCTTGTCCCTTCTGTGCTAGAGACTGGATTTAATTTCCTATGTGCTTATAATATTTAGGATAGCTCTATAAGTCATTCTTACTGTAGCAATCCATGTGGGTTTCTAAAATTTCCCTGTTAGGCTTTGATCCCACAGCCCTTGCAGGTGTTGATCACAAAGGCTGGTATCAGGGCAGGTCTCAATGAGATATTGACTGCTCCCACGGACTAAGCTGTGGATAAACATAGAGCAAATATGTCAGGCCCTTCTTTCCAGTGTGAGCATCAGGGAAAAAAACAAGGATTCTGCATAGTTAATTCTTGTCCATGTAGATAAGTGTGGTGAACGCAGAAAGATGAAGGAATGTGAGGAGATTTTGTTCTGACCTCAACCTGAAAGTATTTACCACAGTACTGGAAACAAAATTGCATAAAGAAGAATTTGATGCTTCATAAGATTTACCTGAACTCCTTCAGGGTAAGGACAGCTTCACCTGCTCCATGCTGGCACAGAACCATTTAGTTGCAGTCCAGTCCAGTCATTTTACTTTCAAAAATATTCTGTTTATTAGGAAGGGGTACAATGGCAGCCATAAAGAACCCTTGCTGCTCGTGCAGGCTCAGGTTCTGTTTTGCTCCCTCTTCCACTTATTGCAGACAGTATCAACCCCTCGTGATGTAAACTGCTGAGAAGGAGGAGTGATAGAGAATATGAGCTGTGTTTAAGTCATGATGACAGTCAAAGGACTTTATGCTTCTCAATCAATTAATCTGGGCTCAGTGTCATCCTGGAAGATACTAAGTGCTCTGAAGGACTAACACAATGAAAAGGTCCATGGAGCAATCAAAGTGTACAAGGCTGTCTTGTCTGGTTAAGTGTCTTGCACCATCATTATAAATACACTTATTAATATATTAATAGCCAGGAATTTATGGTTAAATGTGCTGAAGAATCCCAGGGCTTAAAATGATTGCTAAAGTCATCTAGAACCTGCCTTCAGTGGGTACTGTTAAATCTTTTTTGAGGCTGCAGGGGAAAGAGAAACTGAAATTTTTTTACACAGTAGTAAATGGTCCACTGATGAGCAGATTGCTAAAAGACACTGGGCAGATTGCTTTTTGTTCATAGTATTTGAAGGCTGAATATATAATAGTAAATTGAACACTGCCAGAAAATTGCCAGAAATTGTACCCAGACCCTTGAAGATGATTTGTCTGTATTGTTCAAGTTTTAGAATGGTCTCTCATACAACTTTGCCTTCAACTAACTAGCACTCTCCCAAATTATCTGCAGAAATAGTTTGCAAGTTGGTATAGTGTAAAGTCATGTTCTCCATACTCAGTTTCCATGTGGCTAAACTACTCTGAGGTACAAGAGAATTTGAACTATTGTCTTGCACTAGCAAGTTACGCTTTGGCCCTGTGTCTCAGCTCCTTATTTATGCTTCAGAGATGTAAATAGCATTGAGCTGGCAAGAACTGAACAGCTTCAGTAACTATGGAAAGGATCTGTGAATGCTCACTGACATTTCTAAAAGAAAGAAATCTATAATCATTCATATCAGGGTTTTCTTATCCTTGGAGGTTTGCAAGATATTTGCATTATGAAGAGAAATCAATGATGAAGAGAAGCATTGTTCGAATTTTAAATTCTGCAAATCTACAAAAAATTAAAGGACTTCACTAAGTAAAAGATCTGTTTGCCTGAAAATAATAATAATCACCTGAAAATAATAATAATCAAACATAAGGAACACTGTCCTAGTTCACAGTTTTACCAATCTCTTCAGTTATTTCTGTAGAAAAAGATAACTTTTTCATTTTTGTTTTATTTCTTGTTGCCTTCTCTTATATTCTTTCTCATAGGGACATAGGGACACTTGGCCGATGTGCCTTAATTAGGCATTTAAAGCAAAGCTACATGAGTACCACTGAGTAGCATGAGCTACAGGAGTTCCTGTTCCCTCTTCTCCAGAGCATAGTGGTAGATCAGAGGGAAAGGAAAGTTGCCATCTCTTAGATTTGAAATTCTGATGTTTCATGACAGTATTTTGGTATTTTACCAATTGCAGATTTTTATTATAGTAGTTTTAGTTTGGTTTAGTTGTGACATTTTTTCTAAGATCATTAAACTTGCTAATAACAATAACGAGTTCAGATATACAAAACTCCCTGAAAGACTGTTTAAGTTATTTATGCATCCCTAGAGCCAGTTATTGTTTATTGTTTCTTTTTTTCATTATTGGGTTTTTCCTCCTATTATTTTTTGTCTTTGAAGTTCATATTTGCCACAAGGAAGCAAGAATGTATTTAAAAGAATAGACAGAATTTATCCTGCAATAGCTTCCTAAATCAGGAGGAAAAAAAATATTCCACTAAAGCTTATCTCTGTACTGCTGAAGCCCATCTCCCCACACGCATTGATCTCTCTAGGCTGCTTCTGTAGCCAGTAAGAAGAGGAATGAACTGTCCTTTGAAGTAACAATTGCTTTTCTAACTTAAGGGTCTCAGTTGCAGACTGAAATCTGAGTGTATCCTTATATTTTGTTGTTGTTCTTTCCTTAGAAGCATTTGTTTGCCTTCTGTTTCTGTCTTGCACTATGTTGACTGTTTTTTCATCCAGCATTGCTTTTATGAATAAAAGGTATTTGTAGCATGACAGAAACAAGACTTTGACTTTGTAAACTATGATGTAAAAATTGCTCTTTCCCCACACTGAACATGCAGCAATATCCCACAGGATTAGGAAAAAGCTGTAGACTAATTGATGTGGAATGGGATAATCCCCAGGTGTCTGGAAGGGAGAAGAATTCTCTTGGGTCTGTAGGCTGCCCAATACGCATGTCCCCAGGTCTTTTGCATTTCTGCACGGGGACAGAACTACTGCCCCTCTATTTTTACTGAATTGTGCATACAGGAAAGACTGACTTTCCATCATTTTTTGTTCTCTTGCCACACTTTTAAAAAGATTTGCATGAAAAGTTATAAACCTAAAGGCACACACACATGCATATGCGTGCACACACACACACAAAAGCAAACAACAAAACAAAACAAAAAAAGGATTTTATTTGGGATTTTTCATTGTTTAAATTCAAAATGAGACCAGACAGTATCTGAAGGAGCCTGCAGTCCTATCTGTGTTCTTAGGTGAGGCCAGTGTGTCTGCCCACGCTTCCTTCCACTTCCTTGTAAAACCCAAAGTGCATAGCAGGGTAGCAAGTGTACTCAATTGTCTCTTGGAAATTCTCCAGTAGTCTGGATGTTTTGTCATGTCCCCAGGAGATCCCATTTCTGTACACTGTTTCTTCCTGGTACATCCTCTTTCCTATGGTGTGGGTTTTTTTCATTATAGTGAAGAAATATTTATTAACCTCAACAACAGCCAGTAGGCAAAAAGTTGTTTGATTTACTATAAAGGAAAGAGCGTTGTTTGAGAGCACCCTGCTAGCTGAAGGGATCCCTTCTTCCTAAAGGGATCAACCTCAGCAATTGTCAGAAAATGTAAAGACTCTTTAAATCTTTCATTGTGGAACTGCTTTAACGACTTTCTTTTGTCCAACAACTCTACAAAACTGTTATGTAAAGAACCTGTAGTGACTTTCCTTGCAGCTGTGTATTTTTCCTCCTATAAGAGGCAGAAATAATATTAAGGACTCCATGACAAAAGAAAAAAAAAAAAGAAAAAACCCTAACCCAGATGGTTCTGTGTTGCTAAGCAACTTAAAGAAAGATGAAAGAGACCACAGAGCTCTATTTAGGTCTTGTAAAAACTCAAGCAGTAAATACCCACTGCTTTGATCTTATTTAACCATGATGATGCCTTATCATACTCTGTTGCTGAAAAGAAAAGTTCTGGGGACAAATAAAAGACGTACTTACAATAGTCCTTGAAAGGCTAGAGATTTAGGAAGGCAGCCTGTCAATAAATAGGTGCCAAAAAAACTAGTTATAATTACACTGTCCATCTCAACTAGGGTCAAATCTAACATTGTCTAGTATATAAGTCCTTTCCCATCCTCCCCAGACCCACTTCTCCCTTTATATCTGGAGTAATGCAGTACAGCCATGATCACTGCAGTTGTGAAACATGGTGACATTCCTGGGCACCACATCGGTCTCTGTGTTCTTGGCCACTTATAGATGGATGGCAGAGTTTCAAATGCATGTGCATTTGTGTCTCTGGTCCATTGAAAAATAAGTAGAAAAGTGTTGGGGGTCACTGTCTCCATTACAGTGAACAATGTACAGGTAATGTTTCCAGTTGATTTATATTCTGTCTAGGCAACCTTAGGTGGAATCAATTCTGTTTTGTGGAACTCTATATGCTGCAGCAGGTATGTCTCTGATTATTCATTTTGAGCTAGTCAGCAATCACTTTAAAGAAAAAATAAAAAAAGCTAAAAAGGGAGTATCTATAAAGGCAAAGCCTTAAATATCTCATGAAAAGAATAGCTTGGATAACAGCTTCTGCTTTTATCTGACATATCTAAAAACAAAGAAAAAAGAGGCAAGTTCTCTGTAAAAGATGCCATGTCTTGAAATTGTTATACAATTGCACAGTATATTTCACCTGCACTGAAGACAAATAACCTATGGATTTCTTAGATATGACCTTGCATAATACTGTATTAACAGAGTTATCTCAGGCAAAAAGACATATTTGTTTTTAAGTGAAAAGAATGAATAAGAAAAATATGAATAAAAGAAGAAGTACTCTACCGAGATGCAGTATTTATTTATGATAGGTGGTATAAAACTCTCTCATACATCTGTATAGCTGGATTATTTGGTTGATAAATATATCCTGCAAAAATATGTAGCAATCATTGAATTCCTTAATAAGGGAAATAATTTATTTAAATTGCATACTTGGAATATAGTACCAGATTCCAAAAATCCTGGCTGTCCAATCAGGCTTCAGAGTTCACACATTACTTGCAAAAGTTTTTGCCACTACAGTTCTTACCAAGAAAGTGCCAGCTCCGTGCTTTCTTGAGGTTTAGGATAATGTTGCAAACAAACAATACAGGGAATAAAATGCTATCTATTCAACAGCTTCACTTACAGGATTACTAGATAGCCTAAGACATGCATTAGTGAATTACCTGTTTGAGTAGCAGTTGAGAACCTGAGGCTATGCTGTATCTGAAATTACATTAAAAAATGCACATAAAGTTTTAATAGCAAAACTCTCCTAAATCATTTTCTCACTCTTGAAGTCTTTGCATAGAAGTAATTCTTCTTGACTTACAGAGTGCATTTGTGCTATACAAAGCCAAAATGAGTATTTTTTAACTGTTCTATATCTCCATCCAAGAGAGAATTTGAATGCAGTACTACACAGATATTTTCATCGTAGGCAATTTTTTTTTCAGATTTGGAACCTTTTTTTTTTTTTTTTTTTGGTTAGAGGTAATCATGGAATAACATTTCAATAAACCAGTAGAAACTACTCCTTGAAAAACTGTTTCATTAATTGAGCAGGAAAGAGTCATTGTGAAATGCTAGATGAATGTTTTGGAGACTTCAGTGACTATCACTTTTTTCAACAAACCCCAAAATCTTGCAAAGAATGTCTTAAATGAGTATGCTGTAGAAATTATGCACAGAAAAAGTGTACTTAGTATTTTTTAAATGGGAAATAATAAGTTTCTGTCTTATGTGGTAAAATGCCCAATGCTGCTATGAGTGATGGGAGAAAAAAAGATGAAACTTCTGCTTGGTTTAGGACCCCATTAGAAAGGAAAATTTACAGCACAGTGCCTTTATAGTACTTAAAGGCTCATCTATTGGTGTCAGTTGAATTGCACACTACATATTTCAATCAGTTGCAGGTGTGGTAAATAATTTCCTTACTTAAGAATTAAATAAGCGAGTGATAAACATTAAATAGAAGTTTGAAAAGAAATTAATGTTTTGTAGGATATGAAAATTTTTAAAGTTTAGGGTTTTGTCTCTTAAAAAAAAAAAAAAATTGAAGAGAAATTAACAAAATACTGAGATTCTTTGCAGCAGGAATGCTGTCCCTGGAAGAAGTACATGTGACTTTGTCACATGACTGCAGATAGGAAGCCTTTGACAGATGAGCCGCAATGTGGCCATGAAAACCAGAAATATGTTCTGGAGCAGTAGCTGTAAGAACAGAGGCTGCAAAGGAACCAGTCTAGGGCAGGCAATGAGGTGAACTTTCATTAAAATCTTGTCTAGTGGCCATGTGTCAAAAGCCACTGACAAATGGGTCTCCCATAAAACCCAGCCTACATTTCAAAAGAATCTTGTGAAAACTGACTGGAGAACAGTTTGACGTACTTGAATTAGCAAATACAAAAGAGCAGGGGGGAGGGAGGTGGGGGAATAATAACATCTATTCTTCAACAATTTGTGTTTGAAACTTAATGTGGCAACTCCTTTTTGTTCATATATGCTGCTATTTTTTTAACTCCTGCCATTGATCTGCTGCTGACATCTATGCTAGAGCTACATTAAGATTGTAACTATATATTAGCCCATCAAACCCTACAAGTGTGTTAGATCCTTTGAAATGGGTTGTAGGGTTAAGGCAATCCAGCTGGGTTCAAAACAAAATCTGACTTCCTCCATCCTTCTGTTGCTATTATTGGGATAAGATTTTTTTTTATCAGTGAAAAACTACTCTGAGCTTATAATACTTCTGCTAAACAAGCTTGGTATTATGTTTCCTCACAACTGAGAAAAGACTTTTGATCTTCAAGATATTATGGTACCCACTAAAAGTGTCTTTTAAGACTGAGTAATTTTTAGGCTTTCCAGCATACTAGGGGCTTTTAAAATATGTAAATTGCATTGCGTCATGGTAAGATTAAATTTGTGGACCTATGTTCAGTGACACCTAAAAGTGTCCAGTAATTCAGTAGGCCATGAATAAGATCCACAGAGTATGAGAAAGATGGGCTGGATTATGTCACGTCTCACATCAGCTTGGAAAAATATGGTATTTTGTGTCTTTTCAGTGGATGGAGGCTGGTCTTGTTGGTCATCTTGGTCAAAGTGCTCAGCAACTTGTGGAGGAGGGCATTACATGAGAACCCGTTCTTGCACAAACCCAGCACCAGCATATGGAGGAGATATCTGCCTGGGACTACACACTGAAGAAGCACTCTGCAACACACAGCCCTGTCCAGGTATGGCAAATCAACCGGTGCTTCTTTGTTGTTTATGTGCCACTGAATAAGGCATTCACAGTTAGGCAACATAATGTCCTTGATCTATTATTTAGAGGCAAATAATTTCTTTCCCTTATTAAGTGCGCAGTCAGCTCTTACATTCTACAATGATACAGTAAATCAAGTACATGATATAGTATATAGAAAACCACCATCTCCCTCTCTCTTTAAAAATTAAAATTTAAGTTACCAGGTCTGACTCTAGACTAACTAAAATTGTGTAATATTTGAAGTGGATCATACAAACAGTTTGTGAGACTTAATATCACAAAAAAGTACTTTTGTTATAACACTAAACTTTCACAACAAGCAAATTGATGAGGTTAATATTCAGCTTGTGTTATCACGAGGTCCTTCAAGTAGATAATATTTGCCCTGTTTTCATAAGAAACACAAAACAAACCTTAGCCTGCTTTGTAAAATACCTTCTTCAACTTCAGATGTTAAGGAACAAAGACTTCGTCTTTGTAAATGACTGTGGAATACTAAGAAGATGAAATGTCTCAAGTTGTTATGATATTATGGATCATGTATTTTTCTGTAATTTTGACTCTCCCTTTTGACCTGTATTAAAGGAAACTCATTTTTTTCTTGAAATCCAAGTGAGAAATTGAGATTAAAACTACACAAACTTTCATTTATTGCTGATTAGTGGATTACAGGCACCAGCAAAAGGAAAGAAGCAGCTCTGATGCCACACTGTATTACTTTCTTCGCTTAGAGCTCCTAGACTTCATAGCAAAAGTTTTCTACTCATATGATGAGGTGTTGCATATGAAGGCAAAAGCCCCATGAGTTTGAATTTGTGGATCCTATTACTTGTGATGAACTACAATTTACGGTAATTTCCTTTTCTAGGCACTGCATGTCTCTCCGGGAGAATAAAAGTACCTACTTTGTCAAAATAAAAACCGATGAAACATTCTGTATTGTTTAAAAAAACCCAACAAACATAGAAATCAATTGATGATTTGACTTTCTGAGGCAAATAGTGTACATTTGTAGGTAGAAATTACATAGCTGCCTTGAGATTCTTAAGGCATCCCTAAAAGCTCAGAGCTTGTGTGTTCATTGTGCTAGTATTGTGTCTATTTCTCTCGTTGTGCATTTATTTTCTACTGCCATTTTCCTAAAAATGACAGTTTCCAAACTTTTATAAATAATGTCTTCATCTTATTTTGACCTGACTGTTACCCAAATTTTGGAGTGGATGCAGAATAGAGGAAGAGGTTGGTTTCGTTTTGGTTCATGGAAACCCTTATAAAACAATAAAATTTCAGAGACTTAAAATGTATTTCTTACATCTGTAATATTTTGTTAATATTTCAATCTCACTGAAAATTTGCCATAGGTTTTTGAAACAGCACATCATCAGCTAGCTATAAGAATGGTCTTTGCCCCACGTTTACAGTATAGATTTTGAACTACTTTTTACTTCTCTTATTTCACATTGGTATGGGTCAAGAAAAACTGCACTGCTAGAAGTTTGGAAAGACTCTCGGATCTTTGCAGAGCTGTTGTGGTGAGGACCAGGTGAAGAGTGGTTCTTCCTTGTGCACGTCTGAAAGTACCACTGGTGACATTCACTGCTTAAGTGACATCTTTAATACAGGAAGGAAACAGTAATGACACTTTGAATTTAAGAACAACCAGCCAACACAGAAATGCATATGCAAAAATGGATATTATTTGTAACATTTCTTAAGTTGTGAAAAGAACAAAGATTTTTTGGCATTTGAAATTGTAGAGGTTTTTTTCCAAACCAAACTACCAGAATACTAAATTTTCTGGAATCCTGATACTAAGGATTTCTTGAGGATATAGAAGTTTACTGGCAAATCCAACTGAAAGTATTCAAGTGTGTGCATAAAAGAAAATAACAGAGTTGTGCCTGCAAAATACATCAGTTTTTCTCATCTTTCATTTTAAAAGCTCTATCATTGAGTTTGTGTTTTTTCTTGTATTTTATCCAAATGGAATTGCATTGATATGAATGGAAGCACTCTAGTATTGATCAATAGTGCTTTATAGGCTGCTTATCAGTAAGTGTAATCAGTTGCATTGGTGTCTGTAATGTACTGAATAAAACATTATTTTATACCTAAAGTATTTACTGCTGTAAGAGGGGAACATACATTCTGTCCTTGAATTGTTAACTCACATGTGCAAATAATGGATAAAGTAGTTAAGCATTTAGAAATGATGGTATAGTTCTTCATGAAAGAAATTTATAATCTTACATTGATTAACCTGATCTTTCTGAGGTGCCTCTTTCATCAAGGGATCTCTTAGGAACTGCTTGAACTTAACCTGGCTTCAAAGGCCAGTCAAGATTCTCTAGGAAGAAGATGTGACATGTCATGAGTAAACCTTTCCATGTTAGAGGTAAAAAGCAGTTTCAGGTTAAGCACCTCTCCAGTCCACCCTCTCCTTTACATTCTCATGGCTTTTGCAAAGAACTGAGGAGAAAGTTGAGAAGAGCCTGTCTGAGGTGCAGAAGAACCTCAAATACTGTGAAGATAAAGGAATCAAAGGGATGATTCAGGTTAACTGAGTCAGTAGAAGTGCCTGCAAAAGCTTTGGGTTCAGTGTCCCTGTGATGGCAGAGACAGAGGCTCCACAAAGGGCAGGTACAACAATTTGAAATCAGGCATCTGTCAGTATTAGGTGTTTTAGTTCTCTGTGGCTCTCTGAGCTCCCAGTGGTGGCACTCCTCAAAGCACAGATTTGTGCTTCACCATTGCAGGGATGACCATCCCTTTCATGCACTGATGTCCCCTCTCCCCTCTTCTGTGATTCTTTGTGCCAGATGAAGCTGATCAGCATGGCACCAGACCCACTAACTACCTGTTCTGTAGTGTCTGGACGGCATTGTGGGACTCACTATGGGAGGAGACTCTGTGTTGCGTATGTTGAAAGGTCCCAATGCTCATAGTATCTTTTATGGATCCCTTAAAGGGCAGACCGAAACAGTTAGCTTGCCCAGTTACCCATATGTGACCTGTCATGGTCTATGTGTACTCTGAAGTTTCTATTTTATCATGGAATGTGGTTCCTGCAATGAGGAACCTGGAAAGCCAAAAACACATTGGACAAGATGCGGCTGCAAAGTGCACCAACCAACAAGATGCATTTAGGATGCTCACAAGTATTTTGGCACCTATATATATATATTGCATATATCCCAGTTATACCAGGACTGGACAAGGAGTCTTGGCTCTGGCTTAAGCATGCTCTCTGCCACCGATGAGAACTGGGCCAAGATTTATACTGAGCAACGTTCCTTTAAAATTGAAAGAACAGGGCTTTATTTCTTACTAAATATTTATGATAAGGATCCAAATACTTAGTCTACTTAGATCCAGCAGCTGACGCTGGAGGTGATGACAGCAGCTCCTGGATGTGCCACACTATGTAGGAAGGAAGAAGCCTGTCCGTTTGCTTTACTCCCACCTCAGCTCTCCAACCCCCCTGAAGTAGGATTGAACTACATTATGTCATCTGCTTCTGTGTTCCTACTACGCACTCTGCAAATTAAGCCCTCCCAGGACCTTTCCTAAGAAACAGAAAAGCCAAAAGATAGATCTGAGTATTCTTCTTACTCACAATAACAAGATCCTACAAGCTGATAGTATTGAGGTTTTTTCTCTGCTCAAATGGGGCCTCATCCAGGCACTTGATAATTGTTCATAAATATTAATAGCCAGGTTCTTAACTGAGCTGGTAAATAAATCCATTATATAAAAAACATCTATTGTTTGACATTTTTAAAGACTACAATCTCAAATATTCCTACTGGAATCTGCTAAATTTTAGATGACTAAAGTTTTAACTTTTTTCCTGTGTGAACAAGGGGAAAGTAATGAGTAAATGTGAACCTTGTGTGCTGGATTTGTGCAATGTATTGAAAGTGTCCAAAACAGTGTAAAACTTTCCTGACTTTCCATCTGATTGGCAAAGTAAAAAAGCTTCATTAATTCACAAATTTTAATGTTGTTCAATCTAACTTGAACCAAAATTAGATAATATATACTTTTTCATTTGAAGCAAAATAAAAAATTCAGGCATAAAATCAATTAAAATTTTGAAGTAGAAACAAGCTTGGTTGGGGATAGTAGGGCTGTTTATTCCATGTCAAAACCATAAAACTTATCTCCATAGGAAAGCTGACAGAAGAGGGAAGGAAGTTTAACTGAACTCTGTCTTTACTCTATTTGCCTAATTCAGAAGATTCCTATGAAGGCAAGGTTTGTGCTTAAATTGTAAGAATGCTCAGTGCAGTAAACTCACAGCACCTCATGGAAATGATATCAATTCACTTCATTTAAGGGAAGTATCTGAGATCACACAGGCATGAAATAAAAATGTCTTAATCAAAACTACGTAAGGAGAGGGAGAAATATAGAAAAGAGATGGAAGCTGATAATAAACCGAATAGGGAAGAGAGAGTGAGAATACTGGATGAGCTCTATACATGGCCAAGAAATGGACCTGAAATTGCAGAAGATATAAGAAAAATATTTTAAAAATCTTCAAAATACTACTAATTTTTTTGTAGTTAAATACACATCCTATTTCAGATCTGGAATACATACTCTTATAACTCTCATTGCTACTTGTCAGGTGCATAAACAAAGACTGTCCTTGTCCACCCTAATGGCCTAGACCGTAATTAATTCTGCAACGATCACTCTTTCAGTCACCACTGCAGAATCCCTCCAACTTCTCACTTCCATACACAAAGGCTGTGACAGAAGCCAAAACCATAATACATCTGCAGCAAATTTACCTTCACGTTAAATATTTCAGACACTTTTGCAAAAGCTGAACTGCATTTGTTTTATCAGGATGAAGGAGCTGCTCTCTGATAGTTGGTGGTAGCTGTGGGGAGGCCTTCTATCATAATTCAGAAATAAAAGCTATTTCTCTCTCACTTGGTGTACTTGAAGCCTTTAATGACAGTGTCTGCATGTGTGTCCCTCTCTGCCTTTTGCAGACAGCTGGTCCGAGTGGTCCAAGTGGTCTGACTGTGACTCGTCTGGCTTCCAGACCCGCACTCGTCAGTGCATCATTTTATTTCCTGTGGGTAGCCAGTGCACGGGCAACACCACAGAGAGCCGAACCTGTGCTTCGGACTCCAACTTTATACCAGGTGAGATCAAACAGCTCCTTGACGGACTAGTGAAACTTTTCAAGGTCTCTGGAGTGAGGCACTGCACTGTTCCAGATTGCACTGCAGAATTTTCATTTTGTCAGCCAAAGCATGTTGGTCTACTATGTAGAGAGGGAGCCCTTGGTGGTCAAGTGGTTAAGGTGCGGCGCTGTCGACGCCGAGACCCGGGTTCAATTCCCGGTCAGGACACTTCCTGGGCAGATGGAGCTCATTAGCCCTGTAAGGCAATCCATCTACGTCCTGAGGACCTCGCTGCCACCATCCAAGCTCGCTTGGCCCCGGCAGATGAACCTCAGGATTAAAGGGTGGGCTCAGTTCCGCGCACACTGTGTCTCACCGAAAAAAATCCAATGCGCAGGCTGGAAGGTGTAAAGACCTTCCCCAGTTCTTCGTTTGCGAAGACTGGCCATTACATTACTATGTAGAGATGATGCTGTTAGATCTGAGGTCTACATGAAAATCTGCCCTATGGCACCCAGTGCTGTGGAGCTGTCCCTACTATCACCATCTGGAGCTTTAGTTAGTCATTGTCGCAGCATTCTGCAGGTCCTTCCCATCCTACTTGGTAGCAGGGGATGACTACAGACAGCAAATAGAAATAGTTTCCTTTTTATTGTAATTTAACTGTTTTTGAAACTCTAGGTTTTGTGGTTTGCCTATACAAAATGGGTGCTGGTAGTTAATCTGGAAATCATTTCAGAGTCCCATAAGTTAATAACTGCTTAGAAACTTATTAACTTTGCTCCAGTCCTTATCTCCCTGGTGACTGCTAAGTGCCTGATGGACAGTCACATTATGTATTATTCTACAGCATTTGTGTCGGAGTTTTGACTTTGGTCAGATTTTAAACACTTACTAAAAAACCATTTTTCCCCTCGTCCCTGTCCCCTGCTCTTCTCAGAGGAGAGGAAAAAAAAGTTTATCAGAGAATTCCTGAGTAGAGATAAGAACTGGGAGACCTGTTTACTAACTAATTCTCACAGGCAAACAGTCTCAAAGTGAATAGAACTTAAATTTATTGCTAATAAACTTAACCTAAAAACTAAATTATTCCTAATAGAATAAGAACTAAAAGAGTAAAAGAGTAAAACAGTCTTAAAACACACCACCTTCCTTCCACTCCCCCCTTCCCTCAGCCATGCAGGGAGATGAGAAAAGGGGGAAAGTCACACCCAGCAGCTACTTCTGCTGCTGTTCAAATCCATCTCTTAGACAGGAACTCTTTCCAATTTACTGTCCTGGGGGGGCACTTTTCCATCGGGTGCAGAAGTCTCTCCCTCTGCGCTCTGATGGTCTCCATGGACTGCAAGGGGACAACTTGCTACACTAATGGTCATCACCACAATTACAGGGATAATGGCTTTGAGTCCTTCCCCTGTTTCTTGTGGGGTCCCTTCCCATGGGAGACAGTCTTTGATAGACCTATCCGGCATGGGTCCATCCCTCAGGCCACAGTTCTTCCATAATCTGCTGTCCCTTGGGTCACGAATGAGTTGCACTAGCATGAATTCCCCCACAGGACCACAAGTCCTACCCAGGACAACTTGCTCCAGCATAGATTTCTCTCTCCACGGGCCACAAGTCTCTAGAAAGACTAAAAATCTTAGGCCTCCCATAGAGTCACCTCTTCTTCATGCACTCCTCTGTTCTGGTGTCAGCTCCTTCATGAACTGCAGAGGTGAGTCTCTGCACCCCAACTGTCTTCCACAGGCAGCAGGGGTCTCGGCTTTCAGTCTTTCCCCTGCTGGAGGGGGAGAGGGAGGCCTCTTCCTCCCCCCTCCTGCTACACTGACCTCGGAGTTTACATTGCTATCTCATGTTCTCCTCTGCTCTCCTCCGAGCTAGAATTTCTTCTGCGCCACAGGCTTTTCTTCTGTGTTCTTAAATATGTTATCACAGAAGCAAATATTACTGGCTAGTAGTAGGAAGTCCATCCGGAAGCTGGCTATCATTGGCTTTTTCAAAGAATGGCAAAAGCTTCTATTAGCTTCTAATTGATATAGGGCAATATAATATTAGCTTCTATTTGATATAGGGCAATATAACAATGACATCAACAAACTTAAACAGTGTTTTTATAGATGGTGCATAATGCTTTAACTCCCAAATACTGTTTTCCTCTAAAACTGATGTGAAGATGTCAGTGTAAAGGCAAAAACTCCCACATTGTATTTTTCCCTTTTTCTAAGGCCTTTGAAACTCTGTTAATACTCACATTCTGTGAATCTCCAACTTAATCCAATACAAGCTCTATATCTTGTTTTGGAAAGTAGGTACTTGTAGAATCTGAAATGAGACACCTCTTCTCTTGCCCTTCTCCTTCTCTTGCCACTCCTCCTCAAATTGTCCCCTTATACTTGGCACTGGTGAGGCCATATGTTGGATCCTGTGTTCAGATCTGGTCCCCTCTTTACAAGAAAGACGTTGAGGTGCTGGAACGTGTTTGGAGAAGGGTAGCAAAGCTGGGAAAAGAATCTGGAGCACAGTTCCCAAGAGGAGCAACTGAGGGAGCTGGGGTTGTTTAACCTGGAGAAAAGGAGGCTCAGAGGGGACCTTTGCACTACCTGAAAGGAGGCTGTAGTCAGGTGTGTGTGTGTGTAAATCTCTCCTCCCAAGCAGCAAGTGATGGGACAAGAAAAAACAGCCTCAAGTTGCACCAGGGTAGGTTTAGATTGGATATTAGGAAAAATTTTTTTGCAAAAGTGTTGTCAAGCACTGAAACAGACTGCTCAGGAAAGTGGTGGAGTCCACCCCTGGAGGTATTTGAAAATCACGTAGATGTTGCTCTTAGGGACATGTTTTAGTGGTGGACTTGGCAGTGCTTATTAGTGATTGGACTCAATGATCCCAAAGGTCTTTTCCAATCAAAATGGTTCTATGACTGTAAATTAACAGTCTCAGTGAGACAAAGTATGCTTTCAGCCTTTAACTCTCTGTAAGAGTGCTGTTGTGTCAGGTTTATATTTTGTAATTTTGAAAATAGTTAGCACTGGTTTAACTTGTCATGAATGATAAAAAATTGTGATCCCTTTTGCAGTACCTGCATGAGGATCATCTTTTGGCAGTGGAGAGCCTACTCTTAATTCCTCTTACAGATTCTAGTGTATCTCTGTGTGTATCATTCTTTCCCTTCTCTGGTCTGTTTGTTAGTTCTAGTAGAGACATCCTGGGATGGGAAAACCAGAGCTGTGCACAGTGTTCATGGTATGGACAGCATATAGATTTGCAAAGTACCATAATGCTGATACCTTGTTCTATTCAGTATTGCTTTCTTGGCACTACCTAGCTTTCCTTTTTGATTGCTTCTGAATACTAAATTGATATTATCTCAGAACAATTTGTCATAACCCCCAAGTCTCAGTCATGAGAACTAATGGTTAATTCACAGCCCATCATTTTATAGATGAAGCTAGGATTTCTTTCCACTCTATATACTACTTTGCACTAATCTACATTCTGTTTTATTTATTATTTTATTGCCTAGTTTTATAAGGCCCTTCTAGGGCTCTTGACAGCATTCCCTTTTTCATGCTACCATAACTTTGTATCATCAGCAAACTTCAAAATCACATTTGCCTACTGCTTTTATAGCTCTTTGGTGGAAAGCCTAGGTCCCTGCAGAAGTGGTAACCTTCCTCCGTTGTAAGAACTGGGCACATAATACTAGCCTGGTTTTGTATCTCTTTCCTCATTTCATTTCTTACTTGGAAAGCCATTGTCAAAGAACTTAAAATTCAACTTTTTTGAAATCCAGGTAGCCTGCGTCATCTACCCCACTCACATACGCATGATCCTTGACCCTTTCAGAGAGGTTCAAGAGACTGATTTTTAAAAGAGGACTTCCATTCACAGAAGCTATGGTCTGCAAGTAAGGAGTGGAAGAACTTGATTTTATTCAGATTTTATCAGTATTTTTTCAATTTTTTTTCAAAGTCAAAATGGTAAGGATACAGGCTGGAATTACATTTTATTAGTTTACAACTGAGACCCAAGAAATTGGAAGTCATCTTTTCTGACGATGTCTAAAGTCCCATTTTTCACATTAGTGCCAGACGTGACTTCCAGACATATGAGCCCATTTGAACACAAGGTAATTAAACTGTAGTTAATTTTGCTATTCAGTAAATCAACTCTTTCTCCACATGCTTAAACTCCACAAAGAATGTTTTCATCTGTGTTTCATCTTTTTAATTCCGGAGATGTTTTGAGGCAAGAATTAAAAATAAGTTGCTGCTTTTGCTTGGGAAACTAAGAAACCTGAAGATGTCATGGGATCTTTTTATTAATTCTACCACACAGACAAAATATTTTTTACTTTGGATTTGGAGTGATTGTAATAGAATGAATTTTTAAATCCTTACTGTGTTAATCAAACTAGTAGTTCTCTGTAATATTTTTTTCTTCTTGGCCTAAGTGGTTTATTTATTTTTCTAGAAATATCTGTGGCACGATCCAGCAGCATAGAAGAGAAACGATGTGGCGGTAAGCTTTTCAGTTCAAGATATATATTAAATGCCAAAATATTGATTCTGTATTCTTTGCTTTTGTTTCACCTTTTCGACTCTCTTAGTATTATTCTACATTCTAAATGCTGCATTCTGTTATTTACACTTGTACTGAAACAGTAGCTACTTGTACAGAAAGCTGTAGTTACTACAAGATTTCTCATTAAATATCTATCTGTGATTGGTGACCTTTGAGACAAGAACATACATTACGGGATGTTTGTGTTTTCTTCTTTTTCAGTATGGCAATCACCATTGTCTCAAAAAAAAAGCAACATATTATAAACTAGTTACCAGTAGGTCCAAATTTGTGATGTTGCTCCACATTTTTCAGCACAATAACTTCACAAACCTCTTTGGGACTCCAAATAAACAGCAGAAAACCAGGCTGGTAGCCCATTTAATAGCTCAGACTCTATCTGGGACTCATTTTTATCTTCACTGACAAAGACAAAACTAAAAAGAGAGTCATGATGCTAGCAAAACCAATCTTTAAAGGAAGAACTTTAAAAATCACCAAACAAAAAGAAGAAGAAGAAGGAAAATGAACTTTTCTTTTTGTGCTGAGCTATCACGCTTAGTCTGTGTCGTCATGGTAATAGCTCTGGCTGGGTTTAGTATTCTTCCATGCATAGATAAGCTGCATTTTTAACCTAATAAAATACAGTGAAAACAGAGAGGTTATGCAAGGGTACTTTTCAGTATGGTAACTTGTTATGGGAACCAGAATAATGTAATTTGATTTTTTTACTAATTAGCAGTAGTACTCTGAAAACATTTTGCCAAGTTCCGCAACACTGGGAAACTGTCATAAAAATGTAGAAGGATATTTCAGTGGTAATTTATATATTGAAGCAGTCATCTAGTTACCTAAATATTAGTTTGTGTTTCTAAGTACTCAGTAGGGATGTAAAGGTCCTACCTTAGGCATTTACAAAAAATGGGACCCATGTCCTGACCCATTTTCTGTATTAGAGTGAAAAAGGTCTAACAGGTGTTTTAAAGACTAGCACCAGTATTTCAGTTTAATATCTTTCATTTGTACATTTAAGCAGCCACAAATCAATTTTCAGTAATGTTAAGAGGAAATTTCTGACATGAGCTTCTCACTGATAATTTTCCTAATCAAAAAGCACAGCTCCAGTTTGAAATAACAATGGAAAGCAGTGTAATTTATTTTGAGCTAATCCTACTGGTGCCACATCTGACCTGGTATCTATTCAGTAACATCAGAGAATGACTGTGCTTTAGATTTTCTTTTACAGTTTCATGCAGCAATGAGCTTCCTCTCAGTTTTAATCCTTGTGTAGGTGGAGAGGATTTCCCGTCATCTCATCCCATAGTATCTTTGAACGGCAGAGCAGATAGGAGGGTGCTGGGCTCTGAGTTGTTGACTCTGCACTCTCTGGCTGCTATGCTTACATGCACATTGAACTTCCAGGAGTCTGTCTCTCCCCACTTCCCATTTCCCCCTAAAATGCTACCATCTTTCTCACTCTCCCCCTTACATTAAGAAAAAGTTCTGAGAAATGGAGAAGGGAACAAATTGGCCAAAATACAAAAGCTTTGATACCTGGCAAGAATCAAAGCAGAGGATGGAAAAAAATTTATGCTGCTGCCACTGGGACATGCATCCAATAAACGGCATATGGAAAACATTTTCTGGAAAGAAGGAATATGATTCAAAGATATCAGGATTTTGTTATGGCCACAAGTCACCATGTATAAGAGAAAGAACTAGAAGGGCAGTAGAGGAGGTGATACTGTAGTTCACTGAAAACCCCCCCCCCAAAACTACATATATACATTATACACATCATTTATATATAACAAGGCTTTGTTACACAGTCTGAAAAAATTCTTTTATGAACTATTCAAACCTATGAAATGCAATTCATTTATCTTTTACTTGGGTTCTGAACTTGTTTAAGCATTTTTAAGAGATCTCAATCTTAATACTTATAGAGATTAATGGCTATCTAAGATTCTTATAATGATCCCTTCAGGGAAGTAAAATGATTTTACTACTGTAAGGATAAACCATTGCAAGTGTTTCAGGGAAACACATGAAAATTTCCTTATCCTTATTTGAATCAAACACTTTCTACATTTTTCCCCAAGCTTAAGCTTTTATTTCTACTTCCTTAAAATTAAGAATGTCTTCTCTCTGCTCTGCAGAGTTCAACATGTTTCACATGATCGCAGTGGGATTAAGTAGCTCAATACTTGGTTGCCTTCTTACCCTGCTTGTTTACACTTATTGCCAACGGTATCAACAACAGTCCCATGATGCAACTGTCATCCATCCGGTGTCACCAGCTCCTCTAAATACCAGCATTACAAACCACATCAACAAACTGGACAAGTATGATTCCGTAGAAGCCATCAAGGTGAGGATGGGTTGGGAGCTTGTATATACTCCTAGACAATATTTCTGCTGTATCAAAAGAATTCTACTTGCTAGTTTTCTGCAGTGACGTTTGGGCTCAAATTATGCTGATTGTTAATGACAAAAATAGATTTCCTTTGAAGTATTGTAATTGCAGATCCTTTTATTTGCCAATCCCTGTTATGCATGAAGTTCAATTTTGTGTGTGTGTATAATTTATACAGCAGCCTTTCCTGGAAAAGCAGACCACTCAACTTTTGTTTTGTGGGTTTTTTTTCCTAATTGTGTTCCCTAGTGGCTTGTTCAAGAAGTAAATAGTACCATTAACAATCACCATGACATATATTGAAGATAATCCTTTGGCTCTAACAATCCACCGTCAAGGGCACTGTCCATCTTCCTGCACTATGTCGCCATACAGGGGATGAATCTGGTGAATATATTCTAGGTCAGATTCTCAACTAGTGTTTATACCCAAAATATTCTGTGAAACAGCAGTACAGATTTACTCAGAGTTTGTCATAATATCCATATAATTTATCATTATTCCCAAACAGCTATTTTCTTTTTGTGACCTTTTAAAATAGCTCTGCATGTCAGATACACCGAATTAAGGAAGGATGTGCATTCTGAAAATACCTAGTTCAGTATCTTCAGATTACACAGTTTATTCATGCAGCTGCAAAGCTTTTTGCAAATGAGGGTTTTTCTTGAATCCTGCCTGGATAATCCAGTTTCTAATTTCTGTATTTTTCTTTCTAATTAAAGACATTTTAAACAAAGTCATTAAAAACAGAAAGAAAACTCTGGACTTTCTAGTCAGCAGGGGAATATGAACCTAATTTAAAACTTTTTCAAATTCCACCCATCATCTCTCTAGATAACTACAGAAATAAACAAACAAAAAACCCACCACAACCCTTTGAAAATTCATAATTTAAAAGCCCATATTATTTTTTTAAAAAACAAGGTTTATGTCTTAAAACCTTCAGTCATTTCTGCAACATATAGCACTTGAGAATGAGGGAATTAATGCAGTAAAGTAAGAAAATAATTCTTATTCAGTAAAAAGATGATAAGTGAGTCATTCTAATAGGAAGAACTGCATATGAATGATTAAAAAAATTCATAAAATCATACCATTAGTTTTGCAATATTAGCGGAAAAGTGCCTGGCCTTATTTATTGAAAAGAATTGCTTTCTGTATGAATTTTATTACGTAAGAAGATATTTCTTGCAAACGCAAGTTTTTGTAAATGTACAGGTATTTCTCAATGCATTTTTGACTGGCTTACTATACATAGATATTTGCCACAAGAATTGCCTCGATGAAAAAGTGCTTAGTGATCACCTTTCCTCTATCCTTTACATTTTTTTATTTTAATTTTCTTTTTTCTCTTCCCAGGCATTTAACAAAAACAACTTGATTCTGGAGGAGAGAAACAAATACTTCAATCCACATCTTACTGCAAAGACTTATTCTAATACCTATTTTACAGATTTCAATAATTATGATGAGTACTAATGGGCTTGTGTGTTTTCTGGCCTCCTGTAACTCCCCAGTCCCCAAGGCCTGTGCTACTTGACTGCTCATGTGATTGAGGCTTCAGAGATGAAGTTCAGAGACATTTCAAGCACAATCCAAGCCATCAATGTCCCATTGCTGCCAAAAGCCCAAAACATCTGTTTGTGACATGATGTTTTCTTTGCAGAGTGCAAGATTGACCTTCAGTGTCAGGGGCAGCTGTAGCCCCTCAGTGTTGCTGGACCACTCGTGAGGATTGTATTGCTTCGCTCAGTTTCATAAATTTCCAGTCAGATCTCTCTAACAAGTGACTAAGTAATTCCTGAGACTGAAAAAGAAAGAATAGTGTTACCCCTTAAACCTCTGCCAGGAATACAAATCTAATTTTCTTTTTAGGCATTGTCTTTTATTTCCTTGAGATTTAAGAAGGGAGCTTTGTTGTTAGCCCTCTGTGCAGTCTTCTGAAGCTCACACCGGCAGAAAGATCTCACAAGGTGCTGGGAATGAGGACAAGAAGAAGCGTGGTGGTTTAGTGATACTCTGCAGCAGCTCTGGGCTCTCTAAGCTGATCTTCTGGGGCTGTAAATCACTCTGGCTGCAGTTCAGCTGTTCAGACTGCAGAGACTAAGGCTGTACCAAGGGATACAATCTTGCAATTAACCCAGACACCTACAGGGTCAGTGGTTTCCAGTTGCGAGCCGAGCCCTGTCACATAAAGCCTTCACCTTGTTCGGTTTAATTTTTGGGAGGATGTGGAAGGGCATGTCCCACAGGGAGACTGATGGAGGAGGGCAGATGGGAGAGGCACACTGGAAGGTTTTTCTGTGTGTTGTTAATAAACCAGCCTTGCTGCAGCCTGCAAGTTTGCGCAAGTTGTGGCATTCCACAGGCTTCCTCTCCTTGGTGTGTGCACATGGGAACACATTTGTCTCTGCCGTAGCACTCACCATTAGGCTGGTCACAGAACAATACGGCCGCAACCACATTTTGTGTGCCATCTCTGGCTCCCGGGAGTACGTAGGTATGATCATAGATCTGCTTTTCTTTTTCCAGCTTTTACTTTTTATGCACATGTCTGACAAACAAAGCTGGCTCAGAAGGCGTAGATATATTTGCAAAGCATTGTCTCATCTCATTGCCATGTCTGACCCATGTCAGTTAGCCCCTAGAGGAACATTCTTATGGTGTTTTAATTGATGATCTTGTTGTAAATATTTAAAATACTGTTTGAATTTTAAGTTATCAGTTTTAATTCCTTTTGTAGTGGCAGGTAGGGAAACACAAAGAAGTTTTATACCATTTTTCTTTGTTCTGTCTGTCTTCACCCACATTCATGACGTTATTTTTGTATCTGAAATTCCAGATGTATAACTAAAAAGAAAAGGGCAGGGATTTGGGTCAGATTTTTCAGACTATGTACTAATGAGGCAGCATTTGCTGTTCTCAGAAGCTTGTGAGAAGAAATTACAAGTGAATATTAAGGATTAAAGAATTGGGCTTTTATTTTCTTGCTAAAAGCAAAGATCATCACACTAGAATATGAAGGGAAGTATGCAAGGAGAAGCAGAGTGGAAATGTTTCCATTCTGTGTTTAGAGTCCTTGCTAATTAGGCTATGTCATGATACGCAAATAGAGAAAAACATGTACCGATTATAATGATTCACAACTATGTACAAAAAATAGCAAAAAGTACCAAGAAACATTGATCATGTGAGACTGTATTTGAGCACCACTTTGGTGGTCCAGCCACTTACATAGCACAGGTAAATACCATATGTACTGATGGCAGTGAGCTACATTTTTGAATGGGGATAGATCTGAATGTAACAGTCTCTGTAGAAAAAAAAAAAGTCAAAGCAAGTGGTCTTTAAAAAGCTATGCAGTAAAATGAATGCACATTTACCATCTATGAAAATAATTAAGATCAGCCACCTATTTTTTTCCAGCTGAACAGTTCTCCCCATTACTAACTCAGTCAAATTAAAGGACCTCACCTTCTCACCAGTTCATCTCCAGAAAGTATAATAGTGCTGGTTCTATATAATTTGTGATTTTTTTACTGTGCATTAGGTTTGGTTTTCCAGGAAGAAATTAGCTGATTGCCCTGGGTAAGAGAAAATTTTCTCTGCAAGAGATAGAGGAGAAAAGAACTCTCCAAATCATAACCAGTCTGGTATATGAATTGCTGTGTTCATGCCAAAAGATAAAATTTTATATTTAAATAAGATAAAATAAAATCTATATTTCTGCTACTGCCAAGAAAAAACAGCACATGTACATAAACTCATATGTGCAACACTGTTCCTTTCTACCCCTATATTCAGAGCACACTAGTCCAGCTTATGGATTTTATATTTAGAATACTAGTTATGAGACCAATATCTTTAAAATATTTGAACTATGTACTTTTATTTTAACCTTTTTTAATTAAAATTACTGAAATTAGCCTTTTTTTCCTAACTCTTCAGTAGTTTGAGGCGCGCCTATTTTTACAGTGATCTATTTTCCATTCCTTTTGTGGATAAATGCATATGTTAGATACATGTTATATATGTGGTAATAATATCCTAGGTTAAATCTACATGACCATAGGTAGAAGTGCATTTAGCAGATGCTCAGTCTGCTCACACTTCCATCTCCCAAAGAAGTATTTAAGGTGTTCCATATTTTTGAACAACTCCCATGTTATTGAATCACCATGCCAACTTGTCCAGAAAGTGATTCTTTTAAACTGTTTTTCTGTCATTTAGATTCCTAAATTTCATTGTTCTACATCCCAGGCAGAAATATATTCAAAACTCTATCTGAAGCAGCAGAGGAGACGTGGAAATAGAAGAGCACTTACAATGAGAAAAACTTGTCGACAAGATCTCCTTGGCCAAGCTAGATTGTGAAACAACAGATTTTAAAGATTTGAGATATTTTTGTCTTAGGTAATTTTAGAGGACCCCAGATTCACTGCCTGTATCAATATTTTCATCTTCTGAGTTCTATGAAGCTGCTCCAGTGATTTGGTACAGGTTTTCCTTACTTCATTTAACTTTTTTTTTTTTTCCAGAATAGGTCGCGCACATTTTGGTGAAGAGCAGATTTCATAGAATCATTTAGGTTGGAAGACATCTAAGATCAAGTCCAACCATTAACCTAGCACTGCCAAGTCCCTTACTAAACAACGTCCATTTGTCCGTGAAAACTCTTATTTTTCTTTCTGTCAAAAATGTAACAAGTGGGCATTTTCCTGCAAATCTTCTTTAAGCCAATGGAGCTCTCAAATTTGTGCAAGGGTAAAATTTGATTAAGGAATCGTTCTGTTTTTGGAAAGGAAAAATCAGTTCCCTTGCTCATCAAATGCCATACTCTAATACCCGTTATCCTTGTGCTCTATTCTAGATAAATAATTATATTACCTTTGAAAAATGCCAATAAATAATATTACTAAACCACTTTTGCACTGATTGCATAAATTTTAAAATGCTTCTCTATTTTGAATACAAACATTTTTGCAGATACATCAAAATTCTCTAAGTAAAGCTGTTTCTACACAGCCCTGCTACATGGAGGGAGTAGGGAGCAGGATTTCCAGTCACATCCTGAACGCTGTAGACTTTCACTGGCTAACTCAAAGTATGCTAGAGTATATATTTTGTGCTTATTTTTATGTTTGGTACATAGCATATGTTCCTCATTTGCTTAGAAAATGGACTTCTGTGCTTGCAGATGTATCTTGGACTTTGATTTGAGTCTGATGATCTTCGTGGTCTTTCTAGGTTACTTTATATAGAAGCTTTTCCAGCTGCTTGCAGTCACCTGCTGTTGAAGCAGTGTGGTTTGGCTAAAACTAATCAAGAGATTTTTGACTAGTATTAGGATTTTCATAAGAGGGTGGAAGAAAGAATGGGGCTTAAATGGCTTTGATTTCCAGGCTATTAAGCAGTACTGATTAAAGTCTCACATGGGTGTAGGACACTGTGCATTTAGTTAGCTCAACCAGAGCTCCACAGCAACCTCTGGGAAAATACCATGCCAATGTACAAATCAAGAGCTACTGAAGCACTTATGTTAGCGAAGAAAGTTCTCAGAGCATCAGACCATACCATGCGGCTGTTCAAACCAGAAAAAAAAAGTAAGTGGTCTCAGATGCAAGTAAAATGTTAATAGGATTAAATGCTTCAATATTTTTTTTCCTCATAATTATATATAAATCACTTCTTTAAATGTGGGACCAGTTTTATTCAAATCAGCGCAACATGAGCACATTCCTAATGTTAATTGTATGCATAATGGCTTTGCTGTATGAGATCAATTCTGTAAACAGTTTGGTCCAAGCTTATCTTGCTCTGCTTAAGGCATCTGGCCAATTTCTGATTGCAGCTACCACCAGCACCCTCTTTGTCTCGCATGGGAAAGCGTCTTTAGATGGGCAGAGTTACATCCTGGTGAGGGCTTGTGGCTCTCCACCAACAGTGCAGTGAGCCTGGAGAGATATAGTTCTAATTTTCAGTGGCATTTGGATGCCTAAATTTAGGTTGCCAAAAGCTAGGCTCTTGAGTATAATTATACTCATCACATAAATAACCACACCAAGATCAGTGGTATGGATGTAACAAGTTACTTATTTTAATGTGTTTACAGAATTGAGCCCAAAAGGTATTGCTTCTGCACAAATCCATGCACAATACAAGATGACTTCAGTAGTAAGACAACAGATTCATTTAAAATTGTTCACAAGCGAATCTGCATCTTGATATCAGGGAATAATATGTGTTCATTGTGTGGGGTATTTGAATTCATTCCTTTCTTTGCTAAATAAATGAATGATAAAAAAAGGTATTGCTTTATTTATTTATTTATTCATTTAAAAGCCATTCTTCCAAATAAAGAGGGGTTCTGGGATTTGTGAACATTTTCCCTTTCTTTCTTTCTGGTCTTCTCCACAAAAATGAATCTGTTTGTAGCTGAAATGGGCTTTAGCTAGACTGCTCTGTGCCACTAAATGAATGCTTTGCATTGTGTTGCCATGCGACAACATTTTCTAAGTGGGATGTACAAAGAGAGAAATATGCAAACCTGGGAGGTTTTGGCAAAGATCTCAACCCCAGCAGTAGCAAGGATAGGCAGAAGTGAAAACAAAAATATAGAAGAATGTGACTGAAGACTTGGCAAACTTGCCAGTAAACTCACAGGAATTTAGAAGCTTTTTGGGAAGTGCTAAGGGTGAGGCTGTTGGGAGTGTAACCTCCTGAATATCAAGCCAACTAGTTGCTCAAGAAAAAACAGTCTGATTGCAATAGGTATTTGTGCAAATCTGTGATTGTTTCTCAGAATCGGGGGAAAAATTGGTGACACTGTCAACATCAGGTTAACCAGAAGGGATGGAAATGCTCTCACAAGCAGTACAGGGGACATTTGAGCAATACCTGTGTTGACAGGAAGGATAAGGCAAGAGGATCAGATCTGTAGAGCCAAACAGTTGGTGCTGAACTCCTGGATTTTGGACTAGATCCAGCCTAGTCCCACAGGCTGAACACACATGACCAGTTAGAGTGTGTACCCCTTTAGTTGACCTCATTCACTGAAGAAAAAAAAGCACCACACCAGATGACATGCTCTTGAGACCACTCCATGGTGCAAGTCAAAGCTGAGAGGTGTACTGGAAACTGATAAACCTTTTGTTTCCAGTTGGCTTTTTGGATCCAGATTGGGCACTTTTTCACCTTCTTGCCTTTCCCTTGCCTTTTCTGCTTGCGGGAAACACTTGTGGGATCACAGCTCCACCTTGCCGAGTATATATCAATTTGACAGAGCGATTTTATGCCAGTAGTGAGACCTGCTAAAAATTTGTACTGTAAAACTGACATCAAGGGCTGTGTGAAAACTGTTATAGTGATAGTGAGTCTGTTTTCTTGTAATTGATCTTAAACTGAAAGTACTATAGCAATTCCTCAACTGAAATGAACATCTGAGCAGAGATGATAATTCGCAGAAAAAAATTCAATCAGTGTAACTTTCAGCATGCTCGTAATTCAGTCCTAGAGTCTGAAAGCGCAGAAAGAAGATGTTATTGCACTTGTTTTTTGTTATTTTTTCTCCAAAAGATTTATCCACAAGCCTCATCCAACAATAGTTTTGGATTTTAAAATATCATGGAACGTAATAAACAATAGCAAAGTCTACGTTCCAGGATTCAGCAACTGTATTTACTAATCACTAAGCCAGTGGTTTTGAATGTATTCTCACTTTTGTTAGCTACAACAGTAGGCATTGACTAAAAGTGAAAGAAATAAAATTTCAAATAGACAGGACATTTAAGGTCTCAACTTCTAAATAAAGTTTTGATGGCTGACAGGACAGCTGCAGAAGAAATTGCTTTTATGTCTGTGTGCTGAAAAGTGCTTTCTCTTGTCACGGCCCTATGAAATGTTCTGTACCAGGGAAAAATTTTTTATAATAGTGATGCATCCAAGATAAAATAATTGAAATAGAGCTAAGAGATTTTAGCAGTAGTAAACACTTTGGTTTTATATCAGGAGAAGGCAACTGCTTATTGCAATAATGGGAGTAAATGGTCCCTGTACAGATCTATATAAGAGATCATTTTTGCTTGTCATTACATCCTTCAAAAACAGCTTCCTTAGCAAAACTTCTCATGAGAGCTGCAAAAGATTCTCATATTGAAGTGGGTCAAGCATGGAAACACAGGTGCAGGGATTTAAGCCAGTTACTACTTCAGTCTTGTTCCATGGATGTTGAGCTCACTTTGGATTTACACCTATTCAAACACATTATTAAATTTGTGTCTTGATGCCTATCCATTGACTCATTTAGTAATCCAGAGGTAATTTAACATAATGCTTTACTGATCATCTGGGACACAGAGAAGGAGTTCAACTGATGGCTGGTGATGGTTTTTCTATCATATGTCCCATCATATATTATCCTCTCCAGTGCTGTTATTGGATATTTTAAATATTTTTTTTTAAATTTATTATCTTTTATCAATTTGAGTTCTAAATTGGGGAGCGTAAGGAGCATACCGCTTTTCTGGTCTTCATGACTCAGATTGATATTATTTAACTGCTTTGATTAGTATTCAAATTTTTTCTTGATTTAGGTTTTTTTCCAAGATTTGGTAGTAAGGATTTTTCTTCCCTTTCCAAATATTTAATGTCAGCATGACGTGAACATCCCTGTGTGCTCATTTAACACTTTTTCCCAAATAAGAACACATTCTTAACCTGTATACTCAAATCTCAATTACACATCTGTGATCTTCTAAGTATACTTTTTGTTTGCTTGTTTTTTGCACAAGTGGAAACAGTACTAACCTGCAAGGGAACATCAAGTTCTGCAGTGATGAATTTGGACTCTGTACAGAAGAAAAGAAAAATAAACTTCTTTACCTTTTTATATTCTCTTTGAAGCTTCCTTCTTGATGTTACTAAGGTGTCATAGTGTATGACTATATTTCTCTCCGAGTGCTCTTCAACTCAGTGCTTACAGTTTAAGCCATTTTTATGGGATTTCCTGATCCCATGAAGTGTTAAATGTGTTTGACATTAGAAGAGACATAAAACTTGCCACAAACCCAAACCACAGAGATAGGTAGAAGTATTTTCAAATCTCATGGTTTGGACCCCAATATGGATTAGAGTATTTCACTCCCTTGATTTCCTAGACATCAATTCCTGAGAACACTCCTTTTATATTTGGGGTTTTTTTTAATCTTTGTCAATTACTTATCCATGGCCATAACAAGCCCACCTTTGCCTGTGATTTCCTGTGAAACCTGAGCTAAGATTTTTCCTAAGGTACACGGAGTAGAGTAGAAGATGCTTTCTAGTGTTAAAGATGTTTCTTTAACATACAATGTGCTGCAGAAAGACATGGGTTGAAGGGAGCATTCTCTTCTTCCCATCATTGGCATTTATGTAGAAAATGAAAATACAGGAAGGTTAGCTAGCCTGGTTTGCTGGGAGTGGTTTTGGGATATAAATGGCTCACATAGATTACAGTAATTAACGTACCATAATAACAACAGTCATGCCGGGAAAGACCAGAAGTGTATTTAAGCTTCTTT